TGTAAGCCACTCTGAGACTCTGAGTGAAGGATGGGGTATAAATCCAATCTCTTCTTCTCTTCTTCTTCTATATGGTGTTTAAGCACTGTGAACTTTTTTCTATATATGAATTATCTATATGTTGGATCCCCAAGCATCGAGAATAAATCCAAATCTCTTCTTCTCTTCTTCTTCTATATGGTGTTTAAGCACTGTAAACTGTTTTCTATATATGAATTATCTATGTTACAAGCTAAACCAAGATGGGTTAGTCTGTCTGTAGCAGTAGAAAAGAGCAAGAATCCAGTAGCACCTTAAAAACTAACAAAATATGTGGCAGCTAAACCAATGACATCTAGGCAGTAATGATGAGGCATGTTGAAAGATAGAACATTATTTCTGTCCTTGACCCAGGTCCCAATGCGTAAACAAAATGAACTGCCAATGGTATTTATTTAGAATGGAAATTTTCATTTCCCATTCCGCCAAGGGCAGAGACTTTGCATTTCCATCTTCTTAATGAACACCCACCAATCCTATTTTGTTATGTTTTCCTAATGGCTTTCTTAAAATGACAGTAAATCTAATTAAGATCTACAGAAAGGCAGTGTCAGTGAGTAAACCTTCATAACTATTAGACAAAATTAAATCACTGCAGTTCAAAATAACAGTTCCTCCATTCAGAGAGGATATTCTAATGGCAAACCACTGCTGCACATCTGAACTGTTCCCATCACAGCATTTGGGAGGAGGGAGTACAATTTAATCCTGCAGAATTATGTTTTGTAATCACTCAATAAATTCAAACATAATAGTTAATTATGTGCGAGTTCTCTTTGTTTTTTGAGCATCTAGTACTTGTGCTCTGCGCTACAAAATACGACGGCCAAAAGGACTGGAATTTGCACAGTCTGAAAAGTGAGAGATAGGATACAGTTTGTGTCTCATCAATCACTCTCCCTATGAGCAATCATCTGGTTTATGATTTGCTTGCACATATCACTTGAATGGAGTACGCCATGGTTATCAGTGCATAAAGATAAGAATTTAAAATATGTTATCCAATAAGAGTGAATTTGCCTCCTATAATATTTTCTTATTCTGGGCATGCCTTATATTCTTCTATAATAGATACTTTGTACCTGTGTATTCTAGATCCCCTTGTGCGATAACAGTTTAATGCAATTTTGTGCTGTACAGCTGACAAGAGATCTACAAAGCACTAGTACTAGGAAGATAAAGACCGAAATGTACCTTCAACAGCAATAACCATTAGACTACTCATTATTTAAAGGTTGCATAACAGGTCACTGTCAACACTGAACACAGCGACCGATTTAAGCTCCTAGACTGCTGACAGTAAAAGAAGAAAATACTTATTCGGGGTATAGGCAACCTGGAAAAAAAGGAGTATGTCTTGATTTTGATGCTTTAGGGGTTTGGAGAGGCACTATCTTTTTTTGCTTCTACACTAGGAATGTCTTTCAATAATTCAGGAAATAGTGATACCATTAATACACATGACACTTTAGACTTAAACATAAGTTGAAAGACAGGTCTGTAAGGGAAGATCTTGTCTCACTTGCCTCTTTGAGGGGGTGAACCAGGCCCGTAGCCAGGATTTCTTAAAAGTTGGGGGGGGGGCACTCAAATAAAAATAAAATTCAAAAACTCACGCACTCTGGCTGGCTGGCCCCTGCTGGCCTTTCCATTAATCACCACCGCGCCCTCCTGCTTTGCCATCTCCAGCGCCAGTCCGCTAGGCTCTACCTTGGCCCTGGACCCCGCAGAGGAGAGTGGCGGCACCAAGGGGCTTGCTGGGGACTCGAGACTGGCATCCTCTGTGCTTCTTTCTGCAAGGAGCAGCCGAAGGGGCAGCCCCGTGTAGCAGTGGAACTAGATTTGCCTAAAAACTTGAGGAAACTGCATTCTGTGTTTCATTTCAGCCTCCTGAAGAAGGATTCCAGTTCCAGCCCGTGGCGTCCATCGAAACCGGTACCCCCTCCTATCTTGATTGAGGGCGAGGAACATTATGAGATCTCTAAAATCCTGGACTCTAAGATCAAACGTGGAAAGTTGATGTATTTGGTTGAACGGCTGAGGGGTGACATGACCGAGGTTTATAAGATTATGTGTGGGATAGAGCAGGTCGAGAAAGAAGTACTTTTCTCCCTTTCTCACAATACAAGAACTCGTGGGCACTCCATGAAATTGCTGAGCGGTCAGATTAGAACAGATAAAAGGAAGTCCTTCTTCACCCAGAGAGTGATTAACACATGGAATTCACTGCCACAGGAGGTGGTGGCGGCTACAAGCATGGACAGCTTCAAGAGGGAACTGGATAAACATATGGAACAGAGGTCCATCAGTGGCTGTTAGCCACAAGGTGTAGATAGGAACTCTGGGGCAAGGGATGCTCTGTCTTCTTGGTGCTTGGGGGGGGGTCAACAGTGGGAGGGCTTCTAATGTCCTGGCCACACTGCTGGACCTCCTGATGGCACCTGGTATTTTTGGCCACTGTGTGATACAGAGTGTTGGACTGGATGGGCTATTGGCCTGATCCAACATTGGCTTCTCTTATGTTCTTATCTGAATGGGCCAAGCCAGAGAGGGAAAAAGATTCGGCGGTGGTTTTAGGGCCAGGCTACACAATACACTGTTTAATGAGTAGTGTTTGTGTTCCCCCAACCCAATACGCTTACACCTCAGATAAACGGCACCTACAGGGAGTGTCAGTTTTAAGGCCTGCAGGAAACAATTCGACCCAGAACAGCAGCATGGGGAGAAAAGGAAGCTCCTCCCCCCCAATCCAATTAACAATGCCATAGGGCTAGAAATACAAGACTGAATAACAATGTGAACAGCACTGCCCAGCAATACTCCCTCTAAGCTGTGGAGCCTTGTGAGCAAAAATTCTACTTTGTGAGCTGCTGGCATTAAAGTTGTGAGCAGGCGATATGGCTACTACATAGATTAGTTTGCTCTGGAGCCCCACTTCCTTAGCTAAGACAAAAATGTGTGAGCCGGAGGCTAAAAGACTGTGAGCTGGCTCATGCCAACTCAGCTTAGAGGGAACGCTGCTGCTCAGGCCAATGTAATGCAAGCAAATGCAGAGTGTAGAACTGCAAATATATTTTTATTTAGTTAGTTAGTTGGATTTTTACCCCGCCCTCCCAGCAAAGCCGGCTCAGGGCAATATAGGCAATGTCATACCCATTCCCCTCTCCCACATGTCTGTCCAGCTACAGATCACATTCTGTCCAGCTACAGATCTAATTCTGTTACTAGACTGTCCTCCTGAACATTTCTGTTTTGCACATTTTATGAAATGAAAGTACTGTGGGAGATTCCCCGATTTCCTCAGGCAGGCCATTCTCCAGGGTGGGAGCCGCCACAAGAGAATGCACATGAGCAGGCAGTTGCTGATCTTACCACTTTTCATGGAGGAATCCCTGTTCAGAAAACCGAAGCTGCCGCAGTATGTATGTCAGCATCTCACAACAGGTGCTAGAATGTGTCTTTGTCTTTGCTTGCCACATTCTATGCATTTTCACTGTCAAAAACCCCAGACTCACTTAGGGCTTCACAAATTGTGGCAACTAGCCATGATGACTTAAGGGAACCTCCACATCCAGAGGCAGTACACCTCTGAATAACAGTTTTAACATGCAACATCTGGGGAAGGTCTTACCCTCTATGCCTCATTTGTTGGCCCTCCAGGACAACTGGTGGTCCACTATGTAAAATACATGGTTGGACTAGATGTACCACTAGCCTGATCCAGCAGAGCACTTCTTATATTCTTATGGGAACAGCAGCAGCAAAGATAAGAGACAGTTTGCATTTTTAAAACACTGCTCCAAAAAGCTCTTGTCTACTCCCGCCCCCCCCTTCCCTGGCCATAAACAGAGAAGGGACTCTGTTAGTTTCAAAAGTTCTACCCACATCCTCATTGTTATTTGGACAGTAATTGGCTTTAAAAGTTCTGTTATAGTGGAGGTCATATTTTTCTCAAGGGTTTGGATCGTCTCGTGAAATTCTTGATGTGAGACGTTTAATCCTTCTTGATTGCGTGTTCCTGAGTCCACCGCCATTTTGGGGCTTGTTTCAGGAATCGTTAGGCTATGCCCGGTTTTGGAGTTCCAAGTAAAATAAGACGTTACGGGCAATGTTCCCTCTAAGCCGTGGAGTCCTGTGAGCAAAAATCCTACTTGATGAGCTCCTGGCATTAAAGTTGTGAGCGAGCGATTCGGCTACTACATAAATGAGTTTGCTGTGAAGCCATCCCTTCCTGAGCGAAGACAAAACGTGTGAGCTGGAGGCTAAAAAACAGTGAGCTGGCTCACACTGACTCAGCTTAGAGGGAACACTGGTTACGGGTGCACTTACTGGACTGGTTTTCTTGTCTTTTGTTCTGAAGTTTTTTCCCATATCTTTTGGGGTGATCGCGGATCTGGAATAATGTGATTATTGTTGTTTAGGAGGGAAATAGTTGGGAGCTAGCTGATCAGGCGTCCGTTGCCATCCGCTCCAACGCCACGCCCCCCCCATCCTCTTTGTTAAGGGCAACAAGAAGCTTTCAGAAACTAGCAGAATCCCTCCTCCAATATGGCCAGCAGTAGTGGCAGCCAAACTATAAGTCATTAAGAGACAGAGGGCCTGTGCTTATCGAAAATACCAGGTGCCACAATTAAATGCCTAGGCATCCGGGTTGCTGGTACCCATGATTTGCCGAGCCCTGCCATAGCTGCCCAGCAAGTAGACACACTAATTCAGACTAATATACAACCAGATCCACACAGAATCTTATCTCATGCCTTTTCAGGAAAAAAAACATTCCATGAAGTTTGAAAAATACACAATTCCAGTAAGTTCAAGAAGGTTATCATCTATCTTAGATGTTTTACTCACATGCCAGGAAAGCAGTAATTGTGCAACACCACACTGATCATTATATAAAGTTTAAACAAAACATACCAAAACAATCAAAAGAGCAACTAGCACGGTGCCAGGTAACTTACCTGTGTAACTAGTGGCTCCAATAGCCTCTCTACAGTAAGAGTCCTGATTTCCAAACTTTTGGGGTCCCATTTTAAAATGATAGGTGAAGTTGCAGACGTCATGCTCCCTAGAAGAAAAACAAATCTGTTATGACTCTAAGCAGGAATCTAAGGTCATATTAGAATTGTAATCAGATGCTACCTTGAGAAATTGGCTACCAACAGAGCTACACAGCAGCAGTGTTCCCTCTAAGCTGAGTCAGTGTGAGCTAGCTCACAGTTTTTTAGCCTCCAGCTCACACATTTTTGTCTCAGCTCAGGAAGGATGGCTCCAGAGCAAACTAATTTATGCAGTAGCCAAATCACTTGCTCACAACTTTAATGCCAGTAGCTCACAAAGTAAAATTTTGGCTCACAAGACTCCACAGCTTAGAGGGAACATTGCATAGCAGTATAAGTGACTCTAAGGGATTCACGAATTACAGCTCACTGGGTATGGTGTACACTTTCTTTATAACATGAACAAACCCACACCCAAAAAAAGGCCTCAGGTACAACGCACACTTTTTTTGTAAAAATGTGCAATAAACTATTCGTTGACAGGGTCAAAACTGCAAGGTTTTACTCCAACATGGACAGATTTGCAACACCAGCCATGGAAATTAATGATTCAGCGTGAAGGAAGGGATTTAGGTAGCTGATAACCCTAGCTACTATGCTTCCATGGATGGCCCAAAGCAACACTCGTTTTCCTTGCCCCAGAGAAAACTCAAAACATAATGTTAAAAAATAGCCACAGCAACCCATCTCAGCTGGCCACACAGTTTAAAATAATCTACTGAAGAGGCATCGCTTCTCGGCCTTTCGGCGAAGATCAAGTGAAGTGTACGGAAGAGGCATTTGTGCAGAGCACAGTGCACCAGCATCCACACAACTCTACTTAGGAGCAACTCAAATGTATCTCAAAAGGTCGATCTAATTTATCAAGAGCTGTACTCATCTTACCTTTCTACACATTAAGGAAGTAACGGTTAGAAGCTAGAGAACTACAACAGATCCCAGTTGTGCACAAGTCATACAGTGCTATAATCTAAAGGGGTGTCTCAATCCACAAGGTTTACTCCCTCTGATACTCTGTGACAAGTTCCAATCAAATTGGTCTAAGTCTGTTCAGAGCTATCTGCTGAAAATGGGCGTTTGCCCCCAGGTGCTCCTGTCTTTTGGAACAGACCGAGCAAAATATATTAGCCAAGCAGAGAATCGAGGATATAGAACACCAAACTGATCTTTCCAGCATACAAAACATTAAGATGACGGCAATTATCAAAAATACTGTGGGCCCAGCCAACTATTTAACATCTCTTGAAGTAAAAGGGTTTAGGAGAGCCTTCACTCTGCCCTCCCTTCTGCTGTACTTGAAGGAAAATATAAGAATATTCACAGAAAGGCTTTGTACCTGCCCATTAAGGGAGGTTGAGACTACAGAGCACATGTTTTTTAGATGTCCGTATTATCAGGATTTTTGCTGTTCAGTCGCACAGTCGAGTCCGACTCTTCGCGACCCCATGGACCAGATCATGCCAGGCTTTCCGGTCTTCTGCCGTCCTCTGATCAGGTAGCGCGTAATAAAATTGTCACACCGCTGACTGAACAAATTCTGGGCCTCTCCGAAAAAGCTAGACTCGAGTTCCTTCTATCTGATAGAAATCCCAAGATTACCCACCAAGTAGCCAGTTTTTGTATGGTGATACTCAGATCATGGAAAGCCCAAAGCAGCTAGTTAGATATTAGTAGTTTGATATTAGATTAAATTTTGCTTTTGATGTTTTACTGTTGTATTTTAAAATCTTGGGATTTTGTAAAAGTTTTCTTCTTTTTGTATGACTGGTCTAAGGATTGTAGAAATAAACTAAAATAAAATAAACAGTGCTATAGGGTGCGGTCACACTGTCCCTTTGATCGGGATTCGCCGCTGTTTCCTCCCGCATTTAAAGTTTCTGTTCACATGCGCCAATCTGCCTCCCGCACCGAAGCAGGCTCACTCTCGCAATACTCTCACAATACTCGCGGGTTTTCCTGACCCTGGGAAAATCAAGTACTTTCCTGGCTCTCGCGCTTTGAATGCGCAATTTCACCTATATGGACAGCCCTCTTTCGCAATGATTGCGAAATGATTGCGAATAGGGCCATCTGACCACTCTCTGTAGGTTGGGTTAAAAAAAAAAAAAACAGCTTCCGGTTTCAACGCATGGGCATACATGCGCTTAAGAAATTTCTTTTTTAAAAAAAATGTCAGTGCTTACAGCATCCTGGTGGAGGCAGGAACGAGAGGTGGGGGCTCCGGCAGCCTGGATGGGGGTGGCAAGCAGGTGGTGGAGATGGCGCCCGAGCAGCACGTTAAAGCGTCCCGCGCCGCGCCGCGCGCCTTCCTGCTGGCCCAGAAGCGCCGGAAGAAGGCGCGCCAGGCCGGCGGCGACTGGGCAAATGGCAAGGATGGCCCCGTGGCCGCCCAAGAACAGCTGCTGCCGTCGCCGGATGGGGACGAGGGCGAGGGGGACAGCCAGCAGCACGTAAGAGGGATGGCTCTTGAGGGGTGGTGTAGACATGGAAAACCAGAACAAAACATTCCCGTTTAAATTAAAGCGGGAACAAGGCGCATTTACAGTGCCGTGTGACCTAGACCATAATCTCTTCCTATCGAAGGCCACTGTTTGAGAGCCCAGCAAAAGTGCAAAGCATGCATGATGTGCTCTGATGTTGTGCTCTGACCTGGATGGCCCAAGGCTGGCCTGATCTTGTCAGATCCCGAAAGCTAAGCAGGGTTGGCCCTGGTTAGTACTCGGATGATAGAGCACTGAGGAAATCCAGGGTTGCTACACACAGGCAGGAAGTGACAAACCACCTGTTTGTCTCTTGCTCTGAAAACCCCGTGGGGTTTCTGCAAATCGGCTATGACCCAAGAGCACTTTCCACCCGTGGTGTGGTGTTTTGTTTTGTTCGACGCATACAGCTTCAGAAGGGGACAACTGTGAGCAGGGGAGTGGTGGTGAATGCTTTCCATCCATCCCCTGTTCCAAATAGACCCTCAAGATGTTTCTTTCTTCTTCCCACTGGAGCAACACAAAGGGCTTTGATTATACCAGGACTCTTCAAGGCACAAAACAGCAAGCTCACTTCAGAGGCTGCGCAGAAGCCATGTGCAATCCCCTCCCCACAAAAAGAATCTCCACTTTTCATGTTTTAGAGGTCACATCAAAGCAATGGTATTCCCAGTAGTCATGTATGGCTGCGAGAGTTGGACTATAAGGAAGGCCGAGCGCCGAAGAATAGATTCTTTTGAACTATGGTGCTGGAGAAGACTCTTGAGAGTCCCTTGGACTGCAAGAAGATCAAATCAGTCAATCCTAAAAGAAATCAACCTTGACTGTTCCCTGGAAGGCCAGATAATGAAACTGAAGCTCAAATACTTTGGCCACCCAATGAGAAGGGAGCACTCATTGGAGAAGACCCTGACGCTGGGAAAGACTGAAGGTCAAAGAAGACGGGGACAGCAAAGGAGGAGATGGTTAGACGATGTCATACATGCAACGAACATGAAATTGAGTGAACTTCAGAGGACAGCAGAAGACAGGGGGGCCTGGCGTGACCTGGTCCATGGGGTTGCAAAGAGTCGGACTCGACTGTGCGACTGAACAACAACAACAACAAAACCCTATTTCAACATGACGACAATGCAAAATGCCACGTAAATCCCCTCCCTACTTCCGAAGCCAATCTCTCAGAAAGAAATCGCAGAGCCTCGAAACAGAAACGAAATGAAAGCTGAGATCTCGGCAAGTGTATAAATGACAAAAGTGGGATATTTTGCCATCAAAGTTTAAAACAGCAAAGTATTCCACTGAAAATATTTTTTTTCCCTTATGATTTCCCCATCAAAAACACATCACCAAATTGGCTTCCGGTCTGGCTAAGATGGAGGACTGAAGCGTTTCGCGAGCGTGCGAAGCGAGCGACGGCCACTTTTGACAGTTCCTTTGGCCTGATCCAACATTGGCATCTCTTATGTTCTTATGTTCTTATGTAAAGTATTCCACTGACAATATTTTTTCCCTTATGATTTCCCCATCAAAAACACATCACCAAATTGTGGGACTATTTTGCTGATATATCTTACTGGTATTACACTTAGATCATATCCTTCCGTGAAATGCAAGATTCATACACAGGGTTCCTAGAAGTCACCCATCCAGATCTAGAGTTGGGTCTGCTTAACTTTGGCACATTTGTGGCATGCGTAAGCATTCATAAGTGTGACTTTGGTACTGGACTATGCAGATGGCAATCATGCTTGACCACTAATTACGGTTGCCAGGTCGTGCCCGGCCATCGGCGGGGGATGGAGGGTAAGGTTGCCAGATCCATGTGGGGAAATTCCTGGAGACTTGGGGATAGAACCTGGGGAGGACAGGGACCTCAGTAGGGTACAATGTCATAGAGTCCACCCTCCAAAGCAGGCATCTCCAGCGGAATTGATCTCTGTGGTCTGGAGATGAGCTATAATTCCAGGGGATCCCCAGGTCCCACCTGGACATTGGCATCCCTACCACCAATGAGATCGTAGAACTGGAAGGGGCCTTCTGTCCAACCCTCTTGCTCCGTGCAGGAAATACCAACCTAAATAATACTCAACAGATGGCTGTCCAACTTCTGCTTGGTTCCATTACAAATTGGTGCCATCATCAGACTGCTACCCAGCCCCATAGCTAACAACTTTTTGCAATGAAGCCTAGCCTCCTATGGTTTTAGCCCGTAGATCTAGCTTTGCCATATGATGCAGCAGACAGCAAGTCTTTCCTTTTCCCCTGTGGCTAATCCTCAGGTATTTGAAGACTGCCCTCATGTCCCCACTCAGTCTTCTCAACACTAAACATGCCCAGTTCTCTCGGCCTTCCCTCATACTACTTGTTTTACAGAATTCTTTCTGGAACTTATTGCCCCCTCCTGAATGTGTCCCAGTTTGTCTTCATCTTTCTTAGTGGGGTGCCCAGACAATGAGTACTGTGAGGGCAAAATGGAGGAGATGTTTAGTATTTTTGTTGACGGGCATGGTTATCATTATTTGC